CCACTACGAGCGTTGGAGACTTCACTGGGAACAATGACATTAGTTTGCAATAGGTATTTGAATATAGACCTTGGTAATTCAGCCTCCCCTAAGCGATAACAGCAATAGCTATATCGAAGCAATTTAAATTCACGGTCGGAGGAGGTTTTCATTTCGACTGTATTTTTTTTGTATGTGTGTTACGCTATTTCTCCGACATTTGTAAACCGATTCCATTTCAAATTTGCAGAAAATATTCCTCTTCTAAGGGTGGCAAATTAGGGGATAAATCCGGCTTATTGGAGTTCACTTATTTACCCTTAGCAGATTGTAATAAAACTTGGCAAATATACGTAATTCCACAAACTATTGTAAGGTCTCACGTCGCGTTGCTACTGTTTTGCATTCGTTATTTATGTTTTCATAGACAATTATCACTTTTTAATGTAAAATTAGTAAGTCTGTAATTTAGTTGGGTAATTTTCAGGTAAGTTTTTTGTACAAAATTTTGGCGACAGTTTCTTTTTATTTAAATATTTATAGAATATCATCATGAAATGTTATAGGAAATGAAACTATTTTTTCGGATTTAAATCGTGTATATTTGTCAACCGTGACCATGGGACCTGTAAAGGACCCGAAACATCGGTTTGTTTGAAAAAACAAATATACGTAAATGTAACAATCGCGAAAACCTAAGAACTCGATATCATGAAGTATTATTTAATAATCGAGTGTGGTAACCTGAAATATTGTTTAATATTTGACGGTGATATATTCGAGTTATTAAACAATAAAAATTGTCACCAAAATTGAGTACAAAAAACCTACCTGAAAATTACTGAGTTCTTGACAACACTGTACAAGAGGAGAGAGAGGAGAGAATGGGATATAAAAGCAAAGAGAAATGGCGCACGCGCGCGTTTTTACTTCCAGAAAATTTTGTAGATCAATTCGACTATTATGTGTATTGTAAAAAAAGAAATATATAAATAAATTATGCCTATTAGTATTGCTCACTTCTGGTTTCATTTATACTATTTATTTGAAGATTTTTGCACGTCTACGTTTAGTGGCAAAACAATTCTGTTTTATTTTTATGCAATTGCAGATGATTAGAAATTGAAATGGAGCAGCTTCTTAATATTTTATAATTATGTTATTATACGACATAGGAAACAGCAAACCTGTTATACCCCAATAATACCTATCATCATCCACTCAACATACGTCTCACTGCTAGACTTCCATGACAAACCGCTACGCAATAAACGGTTGTCAGAAGATGACCTCAAATTTCGATGTCATAAGGCGCCTAATTAGAGGAGTGCTGGTGAGAACTAACGCTTTGTCGTGACATCTCCTGCGAAGTTCAACACTTGTCCGCGATTAAACATTTTTGTTACTAATTTATTGCTAATCTGAGACAATGGTTATAAATATGGGTGAAAACAGAGGAATGTGCAAGTTACAGCAGCAGTTTCGAACGACCGCAACATGTTCGTCGTTAACTGGTTGTTGAAGGAGACAGAGCGGTAAGATTTGTATCAACGCTTTCGCATTGTATTTGCTGATATTTAAGACGTGTAAAGCATAGTATGTGTTATGAATGAAAATTCGCGTAGCAATAAAAAATAACCTTTAAAAAAATTATGGAATTTGGTTTTTCTTAGAGCAATCCCAATGATATGAAGATACGGGTGGGGAATGGGAAAGCACGCGCTAAATTATTCATAAATATAAGTTTAATAAGGACATGTTGTGTAATTTAATAGTAAACAGAAGTTGCTACTTTCAAGGAGTTTAAAAGGAACGGCGCATAACTAAAGCAAGAGTAAAGAAAAAACGGTTTTTGTAAAACAACAATACGTAGAACTGAGGATTCTATATTTAGAACTTATGATGTTATAATTTATAAAACAAATTAAAAATTATATAGCCCAAATATAAAAAAATTTACCGACGTTTTAAAGTTCTCTTGGAAACCTAGTTTTAATAATAATAATAAAAACACTTTCCTCCCTCGCGGGCACCGCCTGCACCACCAATTTTCAATCTTTTTTAAGGAAGTATGCACGGTAAAAGTATGCGTATTATATTTTGTTCCGTGATTTTAATAATTCATATAATTTTTTCTCAAAATAGTCATACCTGCTTGTGAGAAATATTTGCAAATAAATCTCCATTTGTCGACAACCCACGCGTTTAGTCTTTATGTAGATAATATAGTATAGGATCATTGTATATAGTATTAAGAATTGTAATTAATAAAAAAAATTAAATAAAAAAAAAGTGACAGTTCAAAAGCCGAAACGAGAAAAATAAACTCCAGAAACTTATTGAAGCAATATTAAAATGTTTTCTTATTTGATACAGGAATTAATGAACACCTTAGAATAATAACGCATAGAAACCTAGCCCGCACACGCTAAGTGAGGCAAGTTAGAGGGTTCCAAACGCGTCTTTTGAGCGCGCGGGCTGTTAGTGCTCAAGGTCATATTGCACCGCGAACAGCTCCAAAATTTTTTGCTAAAAATGACGAAATGTGCGGTAAATGGGTGTAAAAATACAACAGACAAACATAAAATAGACACTAACATCACATTCCACAAGTAAGTAATGCGTTTCAACTCATATTTTTATGTAAATATTCACTAAAACAGAAAAATAATTTCGCGGCAACAAGATACGAAAGTGTTGCAAAGTAACGAATTTTTTTTCTCCCCATTTTGCTATTCTGTATCAAAATAATTATATTACGTAAATTTTAGTGGTGCCTGTAATTTCGATTTATTTGCGCATTTTGAACTAATATTTACTCGAATAAACATTAAATGTTTTCGTTAACTCCTGTAAGTGATTGGGACACTTAATTATTTTATAATACTTTTAACGGCTCTGCGTTCATGCTTTATTGAATAATTATTTATATTAATTTTATTTGAATTGGAGCACATATTGCAACAAATTTACAGTATATATTTGTTTCTCGAAACCTCGTACCTCGAAAACGATACCCAACTTGCCATTATTTGAAAAATCGTGCCCGCCATCTTGGATTTACAAATAGTGCCATATTCACATTGAGCATCCCCAAATACCTCGAAAATGATACCCACATAGCATTTTTT